CCTCGTGAGATGCACTAGTAAAAAAAACAACGATATTTGATTGGTTGAAACATGGGTTCGAACATGTAGCGATATAAAGAAGCACGTCGTCATCATTATCCACGTTCTTCACGAATAGGTTCTAATGACTACGGTAACTCTTATAGTGGTTTCTCTGCTGGTAATATACTGAGCTCAAATACCGCACGTCATCGTCGTTTTTACAGTGAAAAAGGCGGTGTAAGTAGTGCAGATGTTAGGTGTGTAGGTGGAAGTGGTGGCTCTGATAGCGGAGGAGGAGGTAGCTGTAGCGGTGATGGTTTTGGTTAAAGTTGTCGTTTATATGATTTTTACTTTTGTACTATTTGTAATTTATCTAATTTCTAAGGTTTTCATAAATAAATTGAGTGTTTATAAACATATTATATATGACATCTGTATCATAGTTTAACATAGACAGTGTCATTAAGATGGTTATTTGATATTTTTGAAAAAAAAAACTTTCTTAGATTAATATTGATGGAGAATATCTGTTATATTTGTCAATTCTAATTATATTTGATCATTGTATATTCATTAAATTAGGATTTTGGCTTGAAATATAGTAACAATGACTTGAAAATTGACAGTTCCATTGTATTTAAACTTTACCCAATGAGTATTAATTCAAATGTGAATATAAAAAAATGATTAATTTTTATTTTTGTTTCCTATTTTGATATTGTTAACATGATGAACTCTTTATGAAAATAATAAATTTCATTACAAAAAATCATTGTAACATACAACTTCGGAAGTGTATTTTAAATTTTAATAAATATCAATATAAATCATAGTTTTGTTTTATTTTCTATTTGTCAAATAAAAAAAAATGATTTAATAGAATGAAAACTATTAGCTTTATTTTTTTTAGATATTAGAAGAACTGAAATAACTTTTGATAATAAATGAATGTTTTTTTTTCACCATATATTATCTCACATTCTATTGCCTTATTTTAAAGAATATTTTTTATATTGTTCATGATAAAAAAATGACTTTTTTTCAATATTTATCTTATATATAATAAAATATTATTTCGAATGACAAAAATTATAAATTTCCGATTAATTTATTAGATTTATTTTTACTTAATTATATAATATGAAAATTTCTAAAAAAACATTCATAATTAAAATAAATTTGCTTTACATTTCAAAAGTTTTTAATATAATTATTTAGAAAAACATATAGATTTATTATTATTTTAAAATCCTGTATAAATGCATTAGGTTTTTATTTTTATAAATGAATTTGAAAATATTGTTAAAATTTAACATAATTAATTAAAATATAAATTTCTAATTAATTATTTATTTTAATAAAAATGTACGAATAATTTCTATTTTAATTAATTAAAATTTTATCAAAATAAAATTCTATAAAATATAATTCAACATTTGAACAAATAAAAGATTTTAGTTATTAAATAAATTAAAATATTAAAAAGATAAGTATTATAGAAAATTTTTGTTGAAATAAGAAAACAAATTAACTTTTTTTTATTTCAATTAAATAAATTAACTAATAAAAGTATTTTTGAAATTTGTTCAATGGGAATAAAAATTGATTATTATCGAATTAATTTTAAATTGATTTTAGTAAAACTATAAAAAAAAACAAAATCAAAACAAATTCTTCTATATGATGTATCGTTAATAACATTCGATTAATTTTATGTTGAAAAACAAAATCTGTTTATTTAATTAATTTTAAAAATATGTATTTGCTGATCATAATTAATTATATTAGAATATTTTATCTTTAAACATAGTCAATTATAATCTTTGTATATTTTGCAAAAAAGATCAAATTAATAACTTTTTATATAATTCAAATTATTTTTTATATTTAAATAATATTATCATAATAATACATCTTTTATCAATCAGATTTATTTTTTTAAAAATAAAATATTTTCTATGAAAACAGATTTTAATTTATAATGATAAAAAAGATGATTTCATTTTCTTTTTTCTTGATAAAATTATGACGTAAGTGAAGTTAGCCTCATATTCGAGTAAATCCAGCCGATATTTGTCCAAGAAGGTGTTCCAACTGTTCCAGAGAGTTCTAGGATAGAACTCGACGAGCTCTATCCAATGGTGTCCTTGGATTTTGTCTAGCTCAAACTATGACTTCAAAAACTGTGAAATACTGGCTTTTGTATATGGATTCTGGCCTCATATTCGAGTAAAACCAGCCGAGATTCGTCCAGAAAGCTGTTCCAACTGTTCCAGAGCATTCCAAAGTACAACTCGACGAGATCTATCGAATGGTGTGCTCAGATCTTCTGTACCTCAAATTATAATTTGAGATACAGAAGATCTGAGCATATCATTCGATAGAGCTTGTCGAATTGTACTGTGGAACAGTTGGAACAGCTTCCTGGACGAATCTCGGCTGGTATTACTCGAATATGAGGCCAGAATCCATATACAAAAAGCCAGTATTTCACAGTTTTTGGAGCCATAGTTTGAGCTAGACAAAATCCAAGGATACCATTGGATAGGGCTCGTCGAGTTCTATCCTGGAACTCTCTGGAACAGTTGGAACACCTTCTTGGACAAATATCGGCTGGATTTACTCGAATATGAGGCTAACTTCACTTACGTTTCAATAATTATTTTAGGTTTAAATGGTGTATGCTGAACATGTTACACTGATCAACGGTAGCTGCTGTTTAACAGATGTATCATGACTAGACAAAGGAGAAGAATTGGTAGTATCTTGTTCAGATGGACATTTTTGTTCATCTCTCTGATTAACAAGTGACAATTGTAAATGAAAAAATCGTACGAGATGTGTTAGTGAAACACTACTACTGCTGTTCAATTGACTAGATGATAGTAATACTTCACTACAGCATGATTGAACAAGTTCATCAATTCTTTACATTAGCAGCAATAGTTGATGATTGATCTTCATTATTCGTATTAGTAGTATTTATTGTCGTTATAATACGAGTTCGATAAACGAACCAAGATAGATTTTAATAATCATATGAATATGACACAAATTTTTAAGGAAATCTAAAAACTAAATTCTCCCTCTTTTCCTTCTGTGAGTATTGTTATTGTTACATTTTCATGGTATCCAAGTGTCTTAAGATGTCACTATGATTCTTACGCCATTCTGATTGGTTATTTAATTAAATCTTTTTATTTCTTCTCCTCATGATCATTGTTTTGTTACTGACAAAATAAAAAAAAAAGAAGGATGGCGACAACAGAACTCGTCTATCCTCTTGCTTTTCCAAAATCTGTCGTACATAAATGTGAAATATGTGGAAAAACAGCATCACGTATGTGTTCAAAATGTCGTGTAACATATTATTGTTCTGAAGAACATCAAACAGCTGATAATATTGGTATCCATGATAAAATTTGTTCAACATTAACATCACTTCGATTAAAACAACCATTTCTTCCATCTGAAGAAGAACGTCGTGAACGTGATCGTGAAATACGTGATAGAAAAATTCATTTAGTAGAGGTTACTCGAATGATTGGCGAAAGACATGTAAATTTTTCTAGACAAAAAAAAAATCTATATTTCTTTTTTTTTTAATATAATTCAGGTCTTTCAAGATCGTTTTGAAGCTGCTGTACCAGCAGCACTTGCTTCACTTAAATTAGCTATTGAAGTTTATGGTCCACGAAGTGTTGAACTTATTCCATCATATTTAATTTTATCTGAAGCTAGTTTAGGTTTAAAACAACTAAATCAATGTTGGGAATATTTATCTCAAGCACAATATACAATTTTACAACAACAACAACATGAACAAGCACCTTTAGCAATAACATCACAATTATCACGAAATATGGCTCAATTAAGTATTGCTAGAAAAGAATATGATGAAGCAGCAAGACATTTAGCAAATGATGTTTGTATTTAAATTAATAATTTACTTTGTTTTATTTTTTTTTTGTTTATTACTCAATTTTATTTAGATTTATGATGCTTCACTTTTCTATGGTACAGAACATCATAAAGTAGCTGGAGGTTATTTTCTTTTGGGCAAAGTATTTAAATTAATGAATCGTCCTGAAGTAACAGAATCTTTATATACACAAGTAACACAAATGTGGTATAATTTTTTACGTCGTCTTCTTCAAACACGTGTCGTTTTTTCTGATATGGATGCGATTTTAGGAAAAAAAGATGATGATAATGGAGATGAACTAACAAATTCATCAAAACTTGGTAAAAAAAAAAGCCGGTCTTTCTATTGATTTATTCTTAGAGAAAACAAAATTTTCTTTTTTAGATTTATCAACTGAAGCTGAAGCATTCAATACACTTCAAATATTATTAAATTATCGTCTTGAAACACAACAAACAAATCCAATGACACAAGAATTGAATAAAATTCATCATTGTTTAACAATTTTATATTTTCTAGCACGAGATTATATTCAAGTACATGATTCGATGAATAAAATAAAAGATTGTACAATACAAGATATAGAAGATGATCAACAACGAATACTCAAATTTCTTGAACAACTTGGTCAAATGAAAGCATTAATGAAACGTCAACAACAACAAAATTAATCCTTTTTTCTTTTCTATTCTTAATAATTTCTTCTTTTTTTTTTTTTCTTTTTCTTGTTTAGAATGAATACAGTGAATGAATCTCTGTTTGATTAATTTTTTTTTTCCAAATTATTTTTTCTTTTCATTGTAGATTTCATACGCAATAAATTTTTGAATCATGTGGCAAGAAATGAGAAAACATGAAAAGAAATTACGTGGAATGATTGTTGATTATAAAAAACGATCGGAAAGACGAAAAGAATATTATGAAAGAATTGTTTGTATATTTATAAAATCTTATTTTATGATTTATTAAATTTCTTTATTTTAATAGAAACGTGATCCAGCAGAATTCTTACAAATTTGGGGTCGTCCAGCTAAAGTTCATTTAGATCCAGCAATAGCAGCTGCTGCAGAATCAACATTGTAAGTTAGAAGATTGAGACTAATCTATTTTATGAAAAAAGGCCAACTGGTTGTACCTCTTGCGAAGAACCAGAAGTATTCGAAATGAGTGGAGACTATCCTTAATGTGAATTAGACTTACATATCAGATTATTTTCATAGTAGTTTTTTTATTTTTTGAAATTTTACGACATGTAAATCTATTATCTTTTGTTTCTATGATTGTAGAGCACCGTGGCGTGATGATGAAGCAACCATGATTGATCGATTTGATGTTCGTTCACATTTGGATGTAATTGATGAATATGCTATAAAACATCAACAGAATCAACAAGGCTCCGAGTCGGTACTTTTTCAATTTTTTTTCTTGCGTACAATCTCGAATCAATTGAACAAATAAAGAATATCTTCTTTTGTACATAATAGATCATTATCTGAAGCAGAACAAAATGAAGAATGTTTATGCAATTATGAGCGTTATCGAGTTTTAATACATAATGAATCAAATGGTGGTAAGAAAGATAATAAGAAAAAAAAAACATGATTTTAAATTAATAATATTTAATTAACTGATTTTTGTTTTGTTTTTAGTTAATGAAGAACAGTGTTTACGTGATATTGAATTTGATGAAAAATTTGGTGCATTTCGAGACGAACATCATCCAGCAGTACGGGAGGCCAAAAAGAAAAAGTAGGCTTTGTCCAATAGAGAATAGAAAAAAAACAAGGAAAGCGAGCGTCCGAAAAGTAGACTTTTTTTGTCAAATAATTGAATTAATTCATCTTGTTTCGCTTATTTTATTTCAGATCAACAACAAAAAAAGCCGAAATTGGTTTTGTATATGATGATGCACCAATTCCAACATCATCATCAAAAAAACCAACAACAGCAACAACAACAACAACAACAGCAGCAGCAGCAGCAACAACAGCAGCAGATGAAAATGATGATGACGATGATGATGATAATAATGATGATGATTTAGATTTGGATATTGAAATTGATATAAGTGAATTAACTAGTGAAAATAAAGCATCATTAAATAAAGTTGCTACACATTATGGAATGGCATTTGGAGATTTTGCACGAATGTTAATACTTGATCGAGAAGAAATGCAAGCTATTCGAGAAAATAAATTAGAAAGAGAACAAGATATACCTGTAAAAGTAAGAGAAAGTTTTTTGATTATTATTATTTGATTTATTATTTAACTAGGGTCGTCGAGCTCGTCGTGAACGTCGTTTAGCAAAAGAAAGACGAATAAAAGAACGTGATTTTTGTCCACCAAGGTATTTCCTTTTTTTATCATTATATTTAATTTCAATTTGTTTGTTTTTGTTTTGTTCAATTTAGTTATTTAACTCGTGAAACACCAAAATTACCTGTTGTAAAAACAAAATCTAAATCTCGATCTCGATCTCCATCACCTTTGGATACAACACCAGTAAAAGAAAAAATTGAATTTATTACAGCATTTGGTGATGATGAAATATCAAAAAATAATGAATTAAAACGAAAAAGACCTTTTGAAAAATCATTACTTGATGAATGTCGTGAAGCAAAAAAGAAAGCTGAACCAACTGTTGTTCCTGTACGAGTTCGTCGATTAGTTACACCACCACGATTACCAGCACCAACGTAATTATTTGTTTTTGTTTTTTCTCGAATTTAATCTTTTTCATTAACCGTTTTTTGTTTATTAGAACATCATTTGTTCCTTGTCGATCAGTTCAACGAAAAAGTCAAGTTCTATTATCTACATTACAAAAATTAAAAGAAGATTCATCGCCGTATGTTTGATCTTTTTTTTTTAATTTCTGATTTTTTTTTTATTTTTGTTTAAATATGAAGAGAAAGACGAGTTTTATCAGATGATGAAATACCAGTAATAAAAACTGTTAGAACAGAAAAGAAAGATGATAAAAAAGCAAATAATGATGATGATGGTGATGAAGATGAAGATGATGATCTTCAACAATATCTTAAACGAAAAGAAGCTCGACAGTAAATAAAAATAAAAATCTTCTTTTTCTATGAAATTGTTCTTTTTTTTGTTTTGTTTTATTTAAGACGTAATCAAAATTCAATGACAACATCTTCCAATCATAAAGAACAAAATGGTTCTAATGAATCAACAACAACGAAAGTAAAACAATATAATAAGATTGTTAATGTAATATCAAATTTAAACAATTTTTGTTTCCAATAGAGTTCAGCAGTTAAAACTCCTCAAGAAAAACTTCGACGTCGAATGCAAAGTTTATTAAAAAAACAATGTAAATTATTTTATTTTATTTTTTTGATTTCATTTATACTATTGTTGAATTTTTTCTTTTTTTTAGTTCAAAAAGATAAAGATCAACAACGTGAACGTCAAGAACGAGAAGAAAAAGAACGTGAAGCTCGTGAATCTGAGTTACGTCAATCATCAGCTAAACTTCGTCATCATCGTTCACGACATTATTCAAGTAGTAGATCGAGATCAAGATCAAGATCGAGAAGGTAAATTATTTCTTATGTGTTTTTTTTTCTTTCATCTTTGCTTTCCTTTAGTCGTTCTCCATCGTCTCGTCGTCGTCGTCATCGATCTTCATCATCATCGTCTTCTTCATCGTCATCTTCATCACGTCATTCATCGGATAATCGTAAGAAGAAAAGATCATCACCAGTAAAATCACGTTCACCAACGCCAGAATTTTTACGACAACGTTTTCGTCGTAATTATCGTCGTCGTGAATCATCACGATCATCTTCATCTTCATCATCGTCACGATCCGACAGAAGTTCACCAAAAAGAAAACGAACAGATTATAAATAAAGTGACAGTCTTTCTTCTGTACACGGTTGGAAAAAATATTATTCCAGGGGGGTAACGCTATAATTTCAAATAGAAGACATAATGAATTTTATATCAAATGAAAGCTCGTCAAAAATGGGGTTTATTGATACTAAATAGTGAGGCTTGTAAAACTTTCTAATGTCAAACTTAAGAAGTTTTCAGAAATTTTATATTTTTTTGGGGTGGAAAATCAAGGTGCCACTGATTCAAAAAATGAAGTCAATTTTTTTTCTTGAATATTTTTACACGGTTTGATAGACCTCGTTGAGCTCTACAAAACTGTGCATGTTAAAAAATTTTTGAGGCATCTTTTTGAGATAAAAAGTTCAAAAAACTACGCGGGAAACCTCAAAAACGTTTAAAAACTCTTTTTTTTTTCAAATTGAAGAAACACGCTCAATTTTTCAATAAAAGTAGCTTTTTTCGTTGTTTTTACTACCTCAGACGTCTCGAAATATACTCGTTCGATGCAGTGTGAAAAGCTGCGTCTAATGAGTATGTTTCGAAACGCCTGACGGAGTAAAAACAATGAAAAAAGCTACTTTTAGTGAAAAAGTAAGTGTTGTTCTTTCACATGAAAAATATGAATTTTTTTCATGTTTTCTAAGATTTTCCAAATAGTTTTTTGAATTTTTTATCGCAAAAAAAGTGTCTTAAAAATTTTGTTAATGTATACAGTTTTATAGAGCTCGACGAGCTCTATCGAACCGTGTAAAAATATTCAAGAAAAACATTTTACTCCATTCTTGAATCACTAGTACTTTAATTTTCCATCCCAAAAAAAGTATAAAATTTCTGAAAATTTATTAAGCTCGACATTAAAAGGTTTTCATAACCCTCACTATTTAATACCAATAAACCCCATTTTTAACGAGCTTTCATTTGATATAAAATTTATTATGTCTTCTATTTGAAATTATAGCGTTACCCCCCTGGAATAATATTTTTTCCAACCGTGTATTACTCTCTTCTAATACATGTTAAACCTTGTTTGTTTTACATTTAATAGAAAACATTGATCAAATTTTGTATTTTTTTTTTGCGAACTTGTTCAATGTTTGATATCAAAATAAATATTGCTATAAAATCTATCTTTCTATCTGAGAGAAATAAAATATTGATATATATATAATTTGAAAATCAACAAATATAAAAAAATGAAAGTTCACAATCTCAAGAAGCGAACAATCCTATTGAAAAAACATCATGAAAACGAAATGATTATATATGAATAATCGAATAGCAGAAATATTGTGATTAGACTGATTTTTTCTCTGCCATTCTCGCGGAAAGAGTATGACGGTCGTATACGACGTAGTATGCTATCGTATTCGTATATGCTCCTGCTCATTCAAGAGAGGATCGACTGATTCTACTAGAATTAATATTTACGTTGATGATATTGCTCGGTTAAATCTAAATAATAAAAAAACAATTAAATAATTTACTTAAAAAATACATATCACTGTATTTGTTGCTGAATCAAAATGAAAAGGCTATATGCGCGATAAGTGCAATTCGACTAATTGCTAACTTACAACCAAATCCAATCGTGTACTACAGTTGTTGGCCTTCTTCGTATACGTTATTCGTGTTTAAACGTATGACATTTTATACGACGATCGTTTTTTGACATTTTGCGAAGTATACAGTCGTTTACAATTGTACTTTTTAGACCTGAACTCTTTCATATGAATCACGATGATAGATATAAAAGTCGGATCGTCTATTATCCCGCCCAATTCGAGCTTCTGTTTCTTTTTATGTAATTCAAAACATTTGTTTTTTAGTTATATAAACTATGATACTTTAAAGTATATGACTACGAAAAACCAAGCTGCATGAAAAGTATCATTAGGAAAAACTTGCATAGATCAATTGGAATCTTGTTACATAAATTCATCTGATCAACCAAATTGTCGTAAATAAATGAGTCTTCCGAAAGTATCAATAGAAGTAAAAATTATAGACTTTTATTTATTTTGATTTTGTATCAATACCTTCAAAACATTATTCGAAACGAATATGAAGCACAGAACAAATCAATGTCGTTGCTATTTTAAATGGCATCTGAATAGTTTTCTGTTTTTTGGGTAAATATATTGTTCACATTTGTACTTCTGATCTTTCTCCTTCACACTGTTGTATGTTAACATGAATCAAGTAAAAAATCAAAATAATTTACATCAATTGAATATTTCCTCACTTGCTTTGCAATAATGACACCAAATACAAGATCATACTTACCTTTACCCAATACTATTATTGATTTGTAGTATTGTGATAGTGTAGGCCTTTATTCACATTGTCTTGTCGTCCATCATGAATACAAGAGTGAATAGACTGACAATATACTGTCTCATCAAGACAAGATGATTTTGTTTTCTTAATTCTTATATATAAATTCTCTCATTAAATACTCGATTGACAAATAAACAATTCTCAAAGCGATGCTGTTTTTAATACTATCTATTCGGGCTGATATCATATCCGTGTAACGACTATGCACATTTAAGTAGATATTACAGCTAGTTTGACCTACAATAGTAGAATTATGCAAAAATAAAACCATCTCAGTATATTATTCATTGTTTTAATAGATGTTCAATGTTTTAAAATTATTTAAAACGGACTCATCTAATTGCAATAATATCATGTTAAAAATTACTGACTACTTAAATTGACATATTAATTCCCAAAATCCTGTAAAAAAAAATCACTCTACTCTATGAAATAAATAAAAGGATTTTATTAAACATGAATAATCACTAGTTAATGTTAAGTATAATTTAATAAGCATCAAAGCATTGTTTCACTATATTTATGATTATGCTAAATATTTGATTGTTTCTTATAGAAATTTATGAATATATCAATATGTAGAACTAACACATGACATATTTATTCTGATGTAAAACCTTCTGACTGACATATTTTAGAAAACTTGTCAATTTGATTAATGATATATTTATTATAAATTATTTTGATATTGAATTAAACAAGTTTACCATAACATTCTTGATCATGACATTCTTGTACTGGATAAGTGTTTGGTAAAATAATGGTTTCTGTCGTCAAAGTCAATATTGTACCTTCACGTCCAGAAAATGTAGCTTGAAGAAAAGCAGCAACCCAATGACCATCTGTGGGAATAGGAACTATAAGTGAATAGGAAGCAGTTGAACCGATTTGACCCTATCGAACGACAACACAATTAAAAAAACAAATGCAATAATAAACGATTTCTAATACAACCTCGAATTGAACAGCTGTATTTGACCAAATAACAGGATTAACAACAACATTACCATTACTTTGATCAAGTTTTGCTCGTCGAAAATCACGTCTACAAAATGCAAAAGAATATTAAAGTTTATATCTGTTTTTTTCTCTGATCGTACCTTAAAGTATCACTAGTACGAGCTTGATAAGCAGAAACATCTGTAGGTTTCGGCCTTCCAGCACTGAAATCAACGATAGCATGAATGATACCGTGTGTTCCATTCACGGTACGCGTCCATTTCATTGATGGTAATGGTATTCTCTATATTTCTAAGCAATTAAATAAACATAGAAGTTAATATTTACTTACATCTGCCACACTTAAATAAAAACTAGCTAAGCTGTCTTCATATCCCTTTATGCTATGACCAGTATTAGGTATACGTCTGTATATAAAACATAGTATTTGATTTCGTCATATCTTGTATAGTTCTTTTACCTCAAATAAGACCCACCAGTAGTAACTTGCAAATCATTCCAGAAAAAATCCTAACAATAGTTAAAATTTTACTTTTCATTTAACTAATAGGCGATAGTTATAATTTTACCTCACTATCAGGTAGAAAAAACTCATCACCAGCACCTTGAAGTTGAAAAATTTTCGTGTTGCTATATCGATCCAAAAATGCTATAGAAATAGACACCATTTTTTTTTTGATAGTTTAACAAATTATTCAATGTCTTACAATATGGATCAACCATTTCAGCCAATTTATCAAACATAGAACTGTTCATATAGCGAGTAATATTCATTTCGTAATAATCATTAAATGCAAATGTCCATCCACCGAGAGACTATGAAAAAGAATGTATTATTGTCACTAATGATATTAATACATACGCGATAATGTGACATCATGCTCTAGAAATAAAAGTAAAACAAAAATTAACTGGTTCATATAGTCAATCTTTATCTTACTGGTCGCAGGTTCAATAGATCCATGACAATAGGAACTGCCGCTACTACTCGTGTATTATCGACAGCCGCAGTTGTCCATGCTAGAATTTCATGTAAAATAATACCAAAGAAACTCTTTTATATATATATATACTGACTGGTCCATCCACGCTATAAAGTAAGAAATTCAATTGACAGTTTGAAACATATGTGAAACAAAAATGGAACACTTACTTTTGAAGCACCACCGATAACAAATTCTTCTGGTACAGTAATGTGTTGTTGTTTGAAGAATTGTTCAATAGTATCCATCGCTCGTACGACTGCCTATTTTTTTTATCAAAGAAGTAAACAGTTTCAAATATTGATCAACGAGGAAATGTATTCAACTATTAGTCATCAATCAAAATAATATTTTGTTCATAGTTAACACTCAGTGAGACTAGAAGAGATCTGAAAGCATTTCTCCCTATAGACTTTCCTTATCAAGTTATGACCGTTTTATCGAATTTTCGACTTATGGGAAATATTTACAGAAAAACCAAAGCAAAGGAACTTTTACATGGACTTTTGTCCATAAATAGACCTCTTGGTCGTGAATATATATTCTGGATGTTTCAGTCAAAACGGATGGTTGCTTCTCGAAATATTGAATATTCAAAAAAAAGGACCTATTTTCGAACAAACATTCAGATGAAAATTCCTTTTTTTTTTGATTTTCCTATGAACACCTTGTTCTAGTCTCACTGAGTACTAACTATGAACAAAATCAGTAATTAACAGTTGAATATATTTCCTCGTAAGATTGTTTTTTTTTTTTACTTTAGTCATTGGGAAACGAAGAAGCACTTTTGGATCAGTACCATTGATATCAAAAAATTTCTTCCATGTCCAAGCAATAAGTGCATCTTCATCTCGAAGTTTATTCAATGGATCATTCTTTAAGAACTCAATAATGATAGAAATAATAGTTCGATTATAAAATAATATACCCAAAAACGAAATGGTTGATTAGGAATTTGATAAATCGTAGCTGTGATACTATCTGTACGCAGTGCAAGATTCGTCATTGGATCCGTTGTAGGCATTCTAAAATTGATTAGAGTCGAGTATGCAGAAAGATTGTACATTTTCATCAAATAGAAATACAGAAAACACATTGTTTAAGATAATATGCAAATTTTCTTGCTGTAAAAAGATCTCATATAATATTAAAATATTGAATGTCATTGATTTTATTCTATGATTTAATTATAAGACGTTGATAAATGACTATACCTGAATTTCTTTTTCATATAAATATACTACAACATTAACTTACGCATCAGTATTATCTCCTTGATTAATTAATAGGAATGTCGTTCTATAACGACGAATACTTCTTGGAACTGTTATAGTCAAATAATGCCACCAAATTGGATGTGAAGAAAATGACTCTATATAAGAGATGATTAATTTAAGGTTCTAGATTAAATATGATTTTACCATCAAACCATTGTTGTGATGTCATATTCAATACGTAGAGTGTATGAGTCGATAATGGATAAGTTTGAAGACGTTTCCAGCTGAACATTGGATCGGGAGTATTGACATAGTCATCGAGAGGTGTTCCGAAACAATTATTCGAGGCAACAACAAAAACAACGATAAAAACAATGTCGATAAAATGCATTGTAGAATCTAATGAATGACGCTTTGTTTCTCGTTTTTTTTTCTATTAGGACATATTATATGCATCAATTTTATAAAAACGAAGACTTATTTTTCGTCAGCCTATTCTTTATTACATTTATGTTATTTGCTTTTGCTTAGCACAATATTATATTGACATTTGACACTACTATTGAATAGTTTTTTTTTTGCTCTTCGATAGGTTAGAAGAATCAAAAATAGTATGAGTCGACCATTTTTGTTGTGTGTCTAGAAGGCAAATGTCCCATCCGAAAATTTTATATTAGAAAATGTATATATTTTTCAGTGAGTTTTCGCTTTGGTAAGCAATCATAATATTTATTCAACATAGTTCAATATTAAAAATTTTACAAACGATATTTATATAAAAAAAATGCTCAATTCTTCTAAAATAGTAATATTACCAAAATAATATATTTTACATATGATACAATTCATATATAATTATTTATATATTCTTTTCTTACAAATAATGTGTCTAAAAATTCATTATTTAAAAAAAATGTATTGATATCGCTTTGTCTTTGGTCGTATATCCTTTATGTTGTAATTATATGTCGAAAAAAAAAACTGTTACATAGTCAATTATTCATTTACTTTTATCATTTTGATTTCTCTCGATTACAACATTCTTGATTGAATAAGTATTTGATAGAATGAAGATTTGTGTAGCCAAAGCTAAAGTAAAAAATAAATATTATGATTGTAATCCCTACACCTGTGCATCATCATATCTTCAAGAAAATTAATTGTTCGAACAACTTTGACCTACATTATTATTAATAATTGCTTAATAAACTACAAAATTGATTAATTTATTTTATATCAGTGCAGTTGATCACAATATGAATAGCATGAACTCTCTGACTCATAGTTTGTGTGCATGTCAATAATGATAAAGATTTCTTTTTGTTAAATGTCCTTAGGTTATAATTTGTAATTATTACTTTAGGTCATACTGTCATCTTAATAATATTTTAAATGAAATCTTCAGGAGTTTTATCATGGTTTAATATATAATAGTAACTATTAAGTATATCTCATTGATTACGGTTAATAATATCAATATTTATGAATGAAAAAACATTTTTTCACATGATTATGATTTTTAATAAAAAAAAAAGAAAGTAGATCATTCAATTTAGATATAATCCTATAATGTATTTAATTAAATAAGAAATTTTTAGAGTTTGATCAACTATTTCAACACAAATCGAATGATCAAAACTATGACTTGAAAGTACAAATAGTTTTATTTCTATTTTGAAATATAAGTTTACATCTAAATTCAATTCACATCAAATTGTCACACATCATCATTATTCTATTATTAGCTAACATTAAAAATATTTCTTAATATTATAGTGATCAAATAATGCTAATAGGCGGAACTAGGTTAATATCAGTCTATTCATAGTAATTATCATTATATAAAATATTTTTTTTAAATTTCATCATAAAAAAACCTGATATTTATCGGGTTAACATGTACCGAACTGCATAGATTCAATATGAGCATTGACACAATGACATAACATATGAAGTTCATAGATATTCAATTGTGATAGAAAACTCGTAGTATGTTGTTTTTTTCTTACTACGACATCTCAATTGAGCTTATATTCAATCTTCGATGACGTCAGCACGTTCATTCCGTGCTGATTACTTATATTTTTTTATTATTCATTTTGTCCTGGATAAAAGCGACATTCGATGCTACTACGAGATGCTTTCCATAATGTCCATTAGAGAAGAAAATAATGAAATTATTTACCGATTCTGCTTCTAAAACGAAATATAATATTCTTCAAGTGTGTTTTAACTTAAGTGCAATATATTTCATATATTGAAATATGTTTTATTGATTTAAAATGATGATGTAACTATATTGAATAAATTTCAATAAATCTCGACTCATATTTCCAGATAAATTGACTTTTAAGTACAAATTAAATCAAAATATATTTAACAAAAAAAATATTATTCGAACAATGCAATCAAATCACTTCGTGCAGACATAATGTATTTTCTCTAATTATGCCTAGATGTTTAACAGGACACAGAGAATTAGTTTTATCCCGACAATATTTCCTTATATCAGGCACATTATTTTAGAATTAATTAGAATCGTTGAAGCATCAATTATAGTTTCCTTGTCAATCTATCTAAAGCCGATATATGTGATAAACAAGAAGATAATTAAAAATTTTTTTAACAAGAAATGCATTTCTTATTTTAGAAACTATGTTACATTTATCATTAATAATATTTAAGTATAAAATATTCATTGTGAATAAAAGAATAAATTTATTTATTGTATTTTTTTTTGTCTTTTATATACAACAAGTTTAATATTTTTAAATGCAAGATCTTTTATTTCATAAAAGAAAAATTCTTTTACCCATAGGAATAGACTTAAGTTCATAATAACGATCATTTTAAGTAATGTTAGTAGATCTTTTTCCTCGCATAGCATGAAATAAAGCTGCACGACGTTTTGGATAAATTTTCATCATATCTGCAAGAAGATGTTTGATTTCTTCTTCAGAATCATTATTTAAATGTTCTTCTTCAGAATCATTATTTAATCTTTCTTCTTCTAATATATTATTTAAAGTATTTCTTATTATTGCTGTTGTTTGCATTTTCTTTTCAACTGATCTTGCCTTCATTTGATCACTTGTACAATTGACTATAGGGAATAGTACAAGAAAAATAACAACAATAGTTAATAAAAATAAATGACGATGATAATTTGTGATCATTTTCTTTATACTGAAATAAAAATATAAAATAATAAATATAAAATATATAAGAATTTCTCTAATATATAAAAACTAGAATACGACTACCTTGATTTACTGTGTGAAATCTTTTCTTTTTTACATGAATATAAAAGCTATTGCTGTAATTTTTGATAATAAAATTGAATATTTTCAATAATGATGAATGTAGGCTTCATAAAATATGTTATAATCCTGTCGACTGATGTTGCTCGCAGGCTATCTAGATTGATATTTCTTTCTTATTTGAACAGGCACGCACTATCGTCAAAGACATCGTTTTCTTTTTATTTCTCTCTCTCTCTCTTTCTCTCTTATTTTCTAATGCTCTCGTTTACAATTAGGTTGTTAACAAGATCGTACAGACAGTAAATATTAAACTCAGACGGAAGATACATTTCCTTTAGAAATTGATTTGTTTTCTTATTTTTTCAAAGAATTAATATTGAGACATATCATGCTTAGAAAATAAAGATAATCTAGGCACGATAATAGCTCAATTTTTTATCGATTTAATAATTTAAGTACGCAATTTCTCAATGAATTAAATTTGAAAAGATATAAACATGCAAATAATAAATCTAAATTTCCTATTCTGTACTTTGTTTTGTCTCAAAAACACAATTATCAGAATATATTTTTATGAAGAGCACAAAAAAAAACCAAAGATCATAAGAATTATTCTTATTATTTCTTATTGAATATGGATGGCATGTCGAAAAAAAATCAAAATATTATCATTCATCATCTACATCCAAGGTGATAGTGCTTTATTTCAAAATACATATAAGAAATATTCATATTCTTAATGAAAAGGATACTCTTATTCATACTATTATCATATTTGATTGAAAAATGTAAATATGTTGCTTAATTTATATGGATATCTTACTAGTAAAAAAAAAAGAAAAGAAAATCTTTAAAACGACATTTTTGTCCTCGATATATATAGTTTATATTAATACTTATATAACAGAAATGAATTCGAATATATGATCATTAAATTTTTATATAATATGATACGTTGATCATCGATATTTCATGATATTTTTAGAAGGAACGAAGTTTATATTATAAAACTTTAAAATTATTGTTGTTCTACATATGAAAAGAATCGGTAATATTGCATGTCAAATCTATTACAATATGTATCCCCCTGGCCAAAATAAATCGAACACATTATTTTTTTCAATGGTTTCTCGCTAGTAACGTGATTTGCATTTCTATTTATATCATTGATAGATGTTTGATTACTGGACTTATTCTGAAAGTTTCAGTCCTATAGAATTAAAACTTTCCCAGAAGATAAAAACTATGTCTCATGTACTCATGTATCACTGAAATGAAAATTTAATGTTTTTTTTTTTATTTTTCTGTTATTGTAATCTTTATTTTAGATCTCTGATGGTAATTAGTTAACCTATGTACTTGACCACAGAACGGAAACATCTTAAGATGTTTCCGTTCTGTAGTCAAGTACATAAGTTAACTAATTACCACCAGAGATCTAAAATAAAGATTACAATAACAGAAAAATAAAAAAAAAACATTAAATTTTTATTTCAGTGATACATGAGTACATGAGACATATTTTTTATTTTCTCGGAAAGTTTTAACTCTATAGGACTGAAACTTTCAGAATAAGTCCAGTAATCAAACATCTATCAATGATATAAATGTGAGTATAAACCACGTCACTAGCGAAAAACAATCGAAAAACTAATGTGTTCAATTTATTTTGACCAAGGAGATATATATATATATATAAACTGATATATGAAATAAAAAAATTAAAACGTAACTATAATTCTTAATAACATTTTATAAAACTTGTAAGAAAAAACTTCAATCGAAAGACACTACCGAAAACAAATCTTATAATTCTTCATTGAATACTAATAAACTGCTTGTGACAGTTATATTTGAGTTTACTGTTCACGAATTAATATGTTTAAATCCAACGGTTGCATGTATTTTTTTATGTAGAAGCAGAATGGTTTTCAAAAGAGAAAAGTTCTTCTATTAGAAAATTTATCGAAATATTTTTTTTCGCCTACCCAGAAATTTCTAAATTAAACGAAAATATACTTAAATCATTTTTTGTTTAGGAACATGATTCAAGTACTTATGTATTCTTTCAACGGAAATTTTCAAATGTAACTTATTTATCTATTCTCATATTGGTTAACTTTGAATAATAGAATTGTCTATAGTAATAGGAAATTTAACTTACACCAGTAGAATATTGTTTTTTTTCTTAAAGATTTAACTTTGGTACGGAATAAATTGAAGTTAATCAATTACTACTCAAGTTTTTCTGAAAATATAAAGATCAAAAATAGAATATCAAATATTTTTCGTATCTTTTTATTCTCTTTATAAATAACAGAAAACATTTTGTTCATTAAAAAACTTTCTACACAACACCAATAAGAAATACATTTACTTGCTGATTACTGATGGAAAGATATTGTGAATACTAACGACAACTATTATTTGTTATCGATTAATAAGAGATTTTTTGCATAGTATAAAACGCCTGACATTTAGCTAATAACTGAAAATAAGAATGACAGGAAATGTGCAAAATTTCAAATAAAATTTATAATGTACTATTCATATATAGTTTGGTAAGAGAAAAAAAAACATTAAGTAAACTATTCTGCAAATGTAATAAATAGAAATTTTCATTCTTTTTTTTTTGTTTCTGTTTGATTGATGCCTGTGAGCCTTCGCTTCCGAACATTATATAACTTATTTTTGTCACACATTTCTTAATAATATCTTTCGAGAAAGACAAAAAGAGAAATGACATAGACGTTAAAATCATTACTTTTGTGCTTATATATCTCTTTTTCTAAATGAAAGATTAATACGTAAAAGATTTTTATTTATATTATAAAATTTAATGATGAAACTATTATTCTCCATGCTGTGTCATTGGTATGTCATTAAAAATGGTACTGTTTTTTTTATAATTACTTTTGGCATTAAAATAATTAAATATTCATTTTATAGAAATTTTCGATCTGTTTTCTTAATTATTTAATTATTTTTTTCAAATATTTTTCATATTTTCTCGTTATTAGTTATGTTTTTTAACTTTAATTACTTACTGTTGATAGTTGTGTGATTAGTTAACATTAAGACATCAAATAAAACTATAATGAGTGACAACATTGTTCTTTCATTATTTTTATTTAAAATCTGCTTTATCTACTTAGCTAAATTGATTCGTAATTAATCTTATCGCCTTAAAAAAACCCTCTTTTAATATCAAATCCGATCTTATATATATATAATAAAAAGTCGAAGACTAGCACTTTTCACACAAAAGATTTTCTTTTCTATTTTAATTTAATGTAGCTTACTTCTAAATCTAAATGAACATTGATTAAAATGATGACTTAAATACTTAACTCAAAATAGTCTATGATGCATCATAACTAATGTTATTAGAGATTATTCATCTTCCATAATCAATTACCAATATTACAAATAATCTGATTGATAGAATGATTTATGATTTAGTTATTGTCTTATCTAAATCTGTATAGTTGATTATATATACGTATATATCTTCGATCGAGCGTTGAGACAGTGATGAAAAGAATTATATAATCAAAAACAGTCAATCAATTAGAAAATTCAAAGAAAAACTAAGCAAGGCATAAAACGTTCCATCAAACAACACATATGCCGTGTTGATCGATGTTATTGGAAAATCTCTATAGCTTCCATTGAAGCAAATAGTGATTAATCATACATTATAATACAATAATGTACATAAGCTATCCTGATAATCAACACTCACTTGAAGTCAAATAGTTGTCCTGTAGAAAACAAGACGGAGAAAAAATGATCGTCCTCCTGAAATGTCGTTTATGAGTACTTTCTTCTATTTTTCATGGCGTATTTTTTCATAAGTATAAGACAAAAATAAGTCATATTCAGTTGAAAAATACATATAAATTAACAAACTTCGTCTAGTAGATGTTTATAGAAGAGATACAGAATTTACATTAAAATTCTTTGTTTTGCATTCTATGTTGTTTTTAATTATTCAATCTTCATTAGAATAAAAAATTTTGTCTGATCTTGTATATGAAAGTAATTAACAATTTGTCAAGATAATTAAATGAGACATTATGTCACTATAAAATCATATAAAAAAAATAATGTTTATAATTAATTGTTCTATTTATTCGATTTTTCTAATCGTTAAAATTAATTCATACTTCATTGATATGCTATCTATAGTTTTGTTCCAAAATCGAAACTAAATCGAATAAATGAATAATTTGCTTCGATTTGACTCAGTCAAATCGGCTTGAACCGACATGCTATTATTCATTTTGCTCTCTGGGTTACAAACCCATCGGAAAAAGAAAATAGAAGGAAATGATCAAAAAACCAAAGAAGTTGAAATAAATTTAGTCACAGTTTGATAAGTACAAACAAAACACAGATCAACTGTTATCTTATTAAAAAAAAGCAAGATAGAATTCTAATTAGCATCTTCCAGCATTTTGCTGAACGACAGTTTTTATAATCCTATCTGGATAGTCATTAAGTAGCAATTGAGCGTGACAAAGCGAGAAAAAAAGACCGAAGGAAAATTGTTTGCTAAGAAAAATAGCCGTGGAATCCATTAGAAAAGAATAAAGAGTTGAACTTTCAGGTGTAAATCTGTAATTGACACTTATTGAATTGAATTTAACAATGGCACGTGGCAACTGATAATTGATTCAAATAGGTTACACAGATACAAAAGAATGATAGTTTTAGAATTTATAATCAAGCCTGTTCATTTATTCTAACCAAAAGTGCTAATTGCAAATGTGTAATCAAATGATGCAGATATATATTATAACTTAAATATTCTTTGATAGATTTAACACTTTTTTTTAATGTCTGTTTATTTACAAGCTCACATGAATCTTTTAGTATGATTGGTTTAATAATCAAAAAGATATTTTAATTCTCAATGATAAAAACAATGGAGATTTGTAATAACTTCGAGATTGCTAAGTGATTTCTGTTGCATCTTTTTAATTTATTTCTTTAAAATAAAGTTTTTACAAAAGCAAGCTGTTAAACTTTTATTATAAAGTTTTTCAACTAATTTTTTGTAGCAATCAATTTTCGTTCGTCCAATTTTGATAGATGATGTGTTCAGTACATGAAATTCTGGTCTTTCAAGCGTCAATTATATCGTGACTCTCAGGCTCATTAATATCGAACTTTTATGAGCAATTTTATCGTATAGAATCTACCTGTATTCTACTCATCAGAACACAGTAAAAATGGATGATGATAATAATGAATGAATAAATAAACAAAAGACGCAATTCTGTCTATTGTTATAGTTAAAAGCAGTGAATCTATGCATATGTTAGTAATAAACTGATAAGATGTCTTCTGAGGATGTGGGTGTGAGAGAAAAGCAGAAGGAGAATATACGTAGAAGACAATATGATTTAATGGTATCGTCACATATCATTAAAAAAATACTTCTTATCAAAATTTAATATAAGAATATTAGTTGAAGAATGATCAAATATCACAAAAAAATAGAGCATCGTTTTTACTATCACTATATATATAGAGAATATTTCTTTAAGCTTTCTATATGGAGAAAAAGTACCTTCGCCATTACTTTTGGATTGCTCTCAGTAGTATAATATTTTGTATAATTAATCAAATGGATAAATGTATTAATAAATTTCATTTCTATGAAAAGCACTTGACGAATATGATGTCCTATGCGATAGAATGGAACGCAAGATTTTTCGAAGTATTCCATTTCATGGTACAGAAAATTTTTGATACTTGTTCTATCCCATGTGGAATAAAAAATTTTGAAATATATCTCATTTCATGGAACAATTTTTTTCTGTTCCATCCTATCTCATATGAAGCCTTGGTAGCAAAAATGGTGACTAGAACGAGGACATAGAAAAATAAGTAGCTCGCTCACATAGGTGAGTCAGCATGTGTGTTAATAGATTGTAATATATTATTATTATTAAAGAAAAACATATTTTCAACCTTGTGTATGTCATTAGTAATTTTTTCAGGCTTAACAATTGTCTCTAATTGCTCTCTGGTGATCCGCACATACTTGCTCAAAAAAGAACATTAGAAATTAAGTAGCTAATATTATGTGGGAAATTATCATATTATAGATGTCACTATAAAACAATGACTTAGAAATCCACGTATGCTCTATTTTCGACTTTTTGATTGGTCCACGATAATAGATCATTTCATATTCGATAGAATCTGACATATATATTCTTTTTGCGAACATTTTTTTTTTTATCAATCAAGTTTTTATTATTTTTTTTTTGTTTCATTCTTCTAAACTTATCAGTAAAAGGCGTATTTCAAAAGTTTAATCGATTTTTTTTTATTAACCGATCTTTTTTCTCTCTAAATGAGTTCTGTTTCCCGTCGATCAACATTACTTATCGATAGTTTTAATCGTTTACATAATTATTTGCGTATATCACTAACAGAACGGTGTAATCTAAGGTTATACCCATATTTTCATAGGAAGAAAAAAACAATATATGTATAATCATTCACTTGTATAGATGTCAATATTGTATGCCTGAAAAAGGTGTTGACCTTTCACCAGCAAATCATATACTAACTACAAATGAAATTTTACGTCTTATTCGTATTTTTACAACATATGGTGGAATTAATAAAATTCGTTTAACCGGAGGAGGTACGTCGTTACACCATTTAAGCAGCTTATTCTTTATGCATGAATATTTATTTAGTCGAATATTTACTTATTCTTTTCTTTAATTCTTCATTCCATAATTTTTTTTCAGAACCAACGATTCGTCGAGATCTTATTGATATTGTACATGGAATACGTTCATATCCATCAATTAAAACAATTGGTATAACAACAAATGGTGTTCTTTTACATCGTTTACTTGAACCACTTGCTCAAGCTGGTCTTAATTCATTAAATATATCTTTAGATTCATTAGTTAAAGAAAAATTTGAATTTCTAACACGACGTGCAGCATTTACACGTGTTTTAACAAATATACGTTTAGCATTGGATATGCCAAATTTATATCCATTAGTTAAAATAAATTGTGTTGTTATGCAAGGTGTAAATACAGATGAATTAAATGATTTTGTTGAATTAACACGTGATCAATCAAATTTAGCTGTACGTTTTATTGAATATATGCCATTTAGTGATAATAAATGGACTGAAAGAAAATATTTTCCATATGAAGCAATGTTAAAAATAATAAAACAAAAATATAATTTAGAAAAACTTCATCAAGAAGATAAAAATGATACAACAAAATGGTATCGTGTAAAAGATAATTCATATCAGGGTAAAATTGGTTTTATTACATCTATGAGTGAACATTTTTGTTCTACATGTAATAGAGTTAGAATTACAGCTGATGGACAATTAAAAGTTAGTTGATTTATTAAGAGACAATTTTATATGAGGAAAAAACAAAGATATCTTTAGGTTTGTCTATTTGATAATAAAGAAGTATCATTACGTGATGCTCTTCGATCAGATTTAAATGATGAAGAAATCTATTCATTAATACAACGAACATTATATAAAAAAGAAAAAGAACATTTACCAGTGAATATTTTACCAACACGAGAAAACCGTCCAATGATTTTAATCGGTGGATAAGAAAAAAACAACCACGCCTATTATTGGTATAAACAAGCTATACTTTATAAAATATGATTGTTTTTTTTTTTTGATTTATCAAATCTTTGATTGTTGTTATTTGTTATTATGTTTTTTTTATAAAATGTTGATTTTTATTTTTATTCAAAAAAAGAATAATGAATGTTTCAAGGGCTATTTTGTTTCAGATAATGTTTCAATCAAAAGAAATTCTTCTTTTATTGATTTTCACTTTTCTCGGTATAACAACAGGAGAAGAATGTGTAAGTAAATATTTTATTTTTGTTTTCTAGTTTTACTAATAAATAAATATATGCTATTTATGTTGCTATATATAACTTCTACTTACAGCTATTCGTTTATATTGCTATAAAAACGATCGATAATGATCATTAATCTTGAATATATATCATTTTAACAAAAAGCAAAAGTGAGAGCTGTTTGACATTTTTCGAACATAGACAAGGTTGAGGTATTTTATTTTTTTTACATCTATATTATATTTAATATAATTCTTCTTGGTGATTAATTGCTTGATTTTTATTTTCTTTGATCGAACTCTTTTATCAATCTCTTATATAATTGAAAGAAAAAGAAAATATTTTGTAATCGAAAAAAAAAAAACACTTAATTTATATGTCCATTTTTTGTTTATAATTTGTTTAAAGAATATTTTTGAATTTAGCTTGACACACACTATGCTGTATCGAAATGTGATAAAAAAAAAGAATATCAATGGTTGATCGAAGTACCGACTAATCAAGAAGTATGTAAAGGAAAATCAGTGAGTCAACCTAAAGCTGTTGAATGCAGTAAGTAAATTTTGATGAATATAGATTTGGAAAAAAAATAATGTCATTTATCTTTAATTAGATTTCGCTTGTCCAAAAGGACAAACATTTGATAGTAGAGATAAATTTAAATGTAAAGATTGTACTTCAGGAACATTTTCACTTGGTGGTGGTCATCAATATACATTTAATGAAGACGATGATCGTGAAAAAACAATGCCAGAACTTTCCCTTAAAACAGGATCAGTGTTTTCCACATTCGAAAGTGAATGTAAAGGAAAAGAGTAAGAGTTTAATAAATATTTATTTAATATATCGAAACAAAAATGAATATTTTTAGACTTTGGAAAGTGAAAGGAAATATACTACAAGGTGATGCACAACGTAATTGTGCTATTTATCTCTCACTTCAATTTAAACTTGAACGAGCTGGATCAATCACTATAGCATATAATTTAGCCACATCATACGTTTTTGGATCCGTAAATAACTTACAATATAATTTATTTGATTAGAATGAAAAAAAAAACACATATCTTATTTAGATTACATCACGATGTGATTTTAGTATTACAGATAATGATAATAATGATGATATCGATGATGATGAACGTGATTCAAAAAAACGTTCTTTTTTAGTTCTATACCCAACAGGTTATGGTATTTGGAAAGATAGAAAAGTAAAAGAAAGATTCCAATTTTTATTATGTTCTATTTTAAAATGATTCATCATCTAGATTGATATTAATGCACCAGGAGAGTATATACTTTCATTGTATACTGTTGGTCTCAATGCATTCCATTTTCCATTATCAATTCGATCAATTATTGTTGAAGGTCAGAAATCAAAACAAAAAAAGGTCATTTTTTTTACTTGTTTTTTTTTCTTTTATTGTAGGAAGTTCATTCATTCAAGACTGCATTCTATGTCCAAAAGGTAAAATAGATAATAGGTGTTAGGGTTCGCGCTCACGAAGAGCGACGAACACGGTTCATAAGATGTATGTTTTTCTTCTCTCTCTGTTTAATTCTTTTAAACAACAAACATTTATATATGCACATGAAAAAACGAAGACAAAAAAGAAAAGAGTACAAAGGTTAATCAAGGACAAAGAACAGCAATAGAAATAAAATAAGAGAAGTCACTAATGTGAAACAAGTTCGTTAAGGATTACTGATAGCCATAGAACTAGTCTCAGTTTTGAATATCAAAGTCAATAGCAAAATTGTTAGAACTTACAGACTATGATTTATGTTTGCCACAATTTATGATGATAGAAAACCAGTAGAGATTTAGATGTCTGCCACATTTTTCTTATATGTATATATTGTAGCAGAATTACCAATAACGTCTTGTTTCATCCATCAGATTGAAGTATGTTATAAATTTCGATAGATATTGCTATAAAATGTTCTTGTTCGAGGTAAAATTAGTTCTATCATAGTTTATATTTTAATCTCATAGGAGTTTTTATGATAGCTATGCATTTGTTTTAGGTACATATGCTTCAAAATCGGGTTCTACTACTTGTAAACCATGTGCAAGCAATACTTATGCACCACTTGAAGGTTCCACTCAATGTTTGTCTTGTAAAAGTAATGAATATGCAGGTAAAAAAAAATTGCTAAATAATTAATTTCATTTTATGAAAAATATTGAATTAGATGAAGGATCAGCAGAATGTTTACCACGGCCAAAATGTGAATTGAAACATTATCAACAAGTATTTATTGGATGTGATAAATCTGATACAGTAAGTTCATATTTTATTTGATAAAAAAAACAATATGAATATACAAATCTATTAGGCAACAATTAAATATGAACCTATTCAACCAAGAGTTTGTATAGGTGATCCTCCTTCTACACAAGCAACACAATCAACTTGTAGAACATGCAATCCGTTTGTATCTCTGCTTTTTTTTCCTCTTGTTTGAATAAATTTAGTTTTTATTTTAGTGGTATGTATAAAAACACTGACAGTGGCCTTTGTGAATTTTGTCCACAAGGAACTTATTCGGATGGAACTTTAAGTGAATGTCGTAAATGTAAAAGTGAATTATCAGTATTACCTGGTTTATATTATAAAAATTGGAATGAACTACCAATGTATTTTAATAGAAGTTATATGTCTTTTTATGAAAGTAAAGCTTGTACGTATATCATTTTTATTTCATTTATTTAATAATTATTTACTTTATTTATTTTAAAGTAAATGGATTGGTTCAGGATCAAAGTTGGGTTAGTATATATATACATATATATGTTTATTTTGACTGTATAACTTTTGTTGAATAGATTCCAAGTATAGCATATATATCATCTCAAGCACTTCCTGATGTATTATCTATATTAAGTTTAAATATTGTTAAAGGTTTTCGTTTAACAGAATTAGCACGAGCTAATAGACAATTTGGAACATTATATTTTACATTTTCAATTCAATGTCAAAAATCATGTACATTGTTCTTAGTTTCTCTGGTAATTTTTAATAATTAAAATTATATTAGTTAAAAATTTTGTTGACTAGGATACGTATGCTCATGATGATGACTGGTCCGTTATTCAAAAATGGAATGTAAAACACCAAGTTGATCATAAAGATATTGTTAATTATACGTATGTTTTAATTTAAAGGAGGGAATTCTTAAATGATGAAACCGGTTCTCTCTTGAAATTGAGTTGATTATTTTCCCAATAATCAGTTCAGATGTTAGAAGCTCATTGCTGTTCGAATTAGACCGCTAGACTTTCAAAACTCGGTATTATCGATATCTTATAGTGTTATACAATGTTTTATGTATATGGAAAGTTTTCCTCTCGTCTTCAACTCTTTCAATTTGAATCATATATCAAATGAAACCTCTTTCTTTACTCTATTGAATGGTATATAAAAGTGTAACAAAATATTGTTCTTTCTCTTTTACTTTTAGATAACATTGTTCACTTGTATGTACAATATAAGGACATCCATGACAAAACTCTCTTATTATTATTGAACTGTGAAAGCAACAATCTATATTGAGCTGAATTTGTGATTAAGATAGTTTAGTTAAGCGCACAATATTTATGAGTGTCAAAAGTTGCTCTTTTTGATAGGTTTTGATCAGCATAATCATGATATCTATAAAAACGAATGATATATTCGGAATCAGCATACAAAAATGAGTCGATCTATATAATGTCACAAACTCATTCGACAACTTTTATTTTCGTCTAAAGATTCAACCATGATCTCCTCAAGGTTAGGTTAAAAAAAAACAGGCAGCCAAAACATGGTTTTTATCATTTATTCATCCGTTATTTTGGATTTTCATAGGTTTTTAAAAATTTAGAAGTGACTTTGTTTTTCGATGTGATCCTGAGGGGGGTAACGGTTGAATTTTTAGACGAAAATAAAAGTTTGTGGCACATACAAATCGACTCAGTGTTGCATGTTGATTCCGAATATATCATTTATTTTTATAGAAAGCATAATTATTCTGATCAAAACCTATCAAAAAGAGCAACTTTTGACACTCATAAATATTGTGCGCTTGACTAAACTATCTCAATCACAAATTCAGCTCAATATGAATTGCTGCTCTTACAGCGCAATAATAATAAGAGAGTTTTGTCATAGATGTCCTTATATTGTACATACAAGTGAACAATGTTATCTAAAAGTAAAAGAGAAAGAACAATATTTTGTTACACTTTTATATACCATTCAATAGAGTAAAGAAAGAGGTTTCATTTGATATATGATTCAAATTGAAAGAGTTGAAGACAAGAGGAAAACTTTCCATATACATAAAACATTGTATAACACTATAAGACATCGATAATACCGAATTTTGAGTAGTCAGCCACGCATAATCAGAATAAAGTCTAACGCCAACTGACTTCTAAATTGACTATTGAGAAAATAATCAACTCAATATTAAGAGAGGGGTGAATTCATTGTTTAACGACTCTGTCCTCCACCTCCTTTCTATTGTTAATTAAAATTTATTTATTTTATTATTATTAGACATTCAATTCAAAGTTCTGATGAAATTACATTTATTTGGCTTTTTACATCAGATAATACAGATGAAGGTGTTGATGAAATTCGTATTTATGAAATTTTTGTTACAAATACAGTACTTGGAGGATCTGATCGATGTGTTAGTTGTTTAACCACAAATAATCAAGAAACCGAGTATGAATAAATAAAAAATTATTTC